CGCTCGAACACCGTAACCCGCGGTGGCGCCGGAGCGCAGCTGCAAGCCTCCAGCGTGCAACGCTAGCATTGAGGCAGCGACCGCAGTTGGCAAGATTACCCCGACTTCACAGGGCAGCAACCCAAAATCGATAGAGCGTCTGCGTCCTCCACCTCCCGTATGAATGGCGCACGGTATAGTTCGCGGGTTCGCTCGACACATTTCTCTTCGTTGAGAGGACGCAGAGAAAACGAGAACTGGGAGGCGAGCACGCACGGAAAATTGATGACACGAAATATGCGAGACAAATTTGCGCGTGCGGTAGGGTGCTTGTTGTGCGCCTGCACCAATAACATCGAACCTAACGGCGAATTTTTCGCGTGTTGGGTTACGGTACGCAAGCGCCCAAAGGGAACATTATAATCTACAGCATGACGGTGGCCAGATGCGCTAGCCACTGACAGCCAGACCAAGGCCACAGAGAGTATTTCACAGTCAGCATTTGGGAGAGGGAATAGGTGGTGCAGAGTATTGCAACACACAGTTCTGGCTCCTAATTTAGGTTTTCTATGTCGCTTTTGAGTATCTCGTCTGTTCCACGCGCTGTGCTTCATAGAAACTATGTAAAAGATTGAGAATACATGTGCATTGAATTTTTGATCAACATGACAGGGTTGTGAAGAATACCTTCGCCTCAGACGGCACTCGAACCTGCACCTTTTGCTTCTGCACAAACAGAAAGACAAGTCAAAATATTGAATAGCATCCTTACAGCTGCGAAGTCAGGACGTGGAATCTGTAGAGTTCGTTGGAGATGTTTTGCAATTTCTGGCATTGTATAGCGATCATTCGGATTATCGGACCAGCACCGGACCTTAATTAGTCTTCTTGACGTGGAAACCATGGGAAAATTGGTATTTGTTTGGAAAAAAATGTGACAGATTCATAAATCTCCTAATTTACATACACATTTATAAAATAGCTGCATAGCGGCATAGGGAGGGCACGTGCAGATGATCTAGAGGGTCTGTCAGCAGGCTGTTCAAGTGTTATTTCGGAGGCAACTAATGCTAGCTGATCCTATTCCACCCTATTGATACGATTGCGCAGCGGTGCTGAAAAATGGGCCAGCTCACTTTCCTGTCATTTTTTCTAACAAGATCATGCTGTCGATCTAGGCCCACGTAGGCTGACATCTCGAGGATGCCTATCGAATTACTATTAGGTAATAAATGTTAGTGCAGAGCACCACAAGTCAACCAGGTCTACGTTCTTCGCAACGTATTCGTCTCAAGCGACTTGGAATCGTCAGATATTACAGTACATATTTTCTTGGGCCTATTTGATTCTTTTTGGTCTAGCCGATGCCCAAGTCCCCACTTTCTCTCCCCATTCAAACACGAAATACCATTTATCGAAAGAGTGCTTAGCTTGAGCTGGGCTCATTTCACCTCCCCCTGGCATGCCCTATAAAACGAGAGCACATACCTTGATGAGTGTCTGCACTTCAGGTGGAACAAAGAAAGGCAATTCCATGCGATAACCTTCCTTCACCTAAAGCGTTGTTTTGAACCGAAAACACTAGCTGACATGTATAGGAGCGTAGCCTCCGATGTATAACCTACACTTTGATTAACTTCTGCAACTGTCATGCCAGGATAAGGCTCAATTCCGTTGTTGTATATTTCCCAGCACAATATGCCTGAATATTATGATGGTCATAGCCAGTGAGCGAGGTAGTCCAGTGCTCATACCCTACCGTAACTGAATACATCAGTCTTTTGCGTATAGATGGCCATTTTGAGTGTTTCGGGGGCGAGCCAGCGTATGGGAACTCTCTTATGTGGATCCATTTGATAGACAGTGCCTTCTCGAGTCAAACCGAAATCAGAAATTTTGACCTGAATGAGATCCCCACATTCGTTGTTTTACTTTAAAGAGCGTTGTTTGTGAAGAAGTTTTCGGAAGAAACGAAACAACAGTAGTAAGAAGTCACCTTGTTATCACCGTAGAGGCAGTTTCTTGCAGCAATATCTCTGTGCAGAACATTTTTCATGTGAAGATACTCGAGACCCCAAGCGGCCTGTATTAAATACAGCATCATGCATATGTCCTGATGGCGTGCTCGTGTTTACACCAAGCTTTGACCACAACGAGTACGTGAGCCCTCACTTGTTTCCCACACCAGGAGACAAGCTTAACTACAAATTTTCTGCGCTTTTGTGGTCCGGAATGGGTTTACTCCTTTTAGGGGAAAAAAGCAGCTCAGTACTAGGAGGACAATCGCTGAGGTGATCCACCAATCCGTCAAAGTGTTAACGCAGGGACTCCAAAATGGCTAGATTGTGACCGGCACAAGTCCTCTAACCATAGGACTCCATTGTGGCCGACCGATTACGAAATTGTATACCCTCGTAACCGTGCTGAAGAGATTCGGAAACGCGATATTCACATGAGTTTGAAGCCGCGGGTTGGGATCGGGCGCTAAGATCCATCCCCTTCTGAGGTAGGAAGAGGGCCTCCAAGCCGCAGGAGGCGCGACACTGTCGCGACTCAAAAGTGCGAGGCAACGGCGCTAAGGCCTTGCCTTGTGTGCTGCCGTGCTGCCATCCTTATCAACCACGGCATACGTGGTCTCTGCGTCCTCTCGCGTACGACGTACTCTCGCGTTTTCCCTCTCCTCGCAACGCTGTATCTCTCCATCACATCACGGGGGACATCACGAGGGAAATTTCAGTATTTTCTATGGCGCTTTTTGGCCAACCAAGCCTTCCATCCCTCCGGGGTCGGTTAATTGGTACCAGACTTGTCTGGGAGGATAAAAACACTGACTTGTACATCGGCTGGCCCCGCAAGTCATTGTATAGGCCACATCGCATTCAAACGCCACTACGAATGTACAAATGGAAGAAGAATCGATCCGTGCCTTTAAGCCGATAGAATGTACAGGACGAGAAATCGGATAAACTCCCAAGTAGCGAAGCAGCTTGCAATTCTTTAGATTTAAGCGGTCTTGTGTCATCTATGTAGACACAATTCTGTTTATCTAGGACACACTGATGAACTGACACACCCACATTACGCAGTTAAGGAGCAGCGTTGGCCAAGCCGTCACTTCCCAGTTGGAGTGTTGTACTCCGATAGCAAGTTTGGGCAAATTTAGATGAATTCCAGCTTCAAGACATAATCACTCCCAAGGTAGCGCCTGTACTATGTGTGAGAGCACTGCAATCTCTAAAGAGCATTGCCAGTCACCCATTTTCTCGAAGGTATCACTGCAGCGCTAGAGTGACAGCATCTAAGCATCGAAATGTTGGCTGGGAGCATTACGTTATGAAATCGAAAAGTGCACGTCCTTATAAGTAGCTACCGATCCTGCACCGGCGTAGTATCGCCTAGCTAGTAAGTGAGAGCTCATGGTTGCGTTTTAGGAGTCTCGAAATCAGAGTTCACGCTCCTTTGATCGCGGTAATATTTCACTGGAGTGACTGCATTTATCTATTATACTGACAATAAGGTAGGCCCGAAATTCAGCCGAATTCACGGAAGAAGAGGCAGTGGACCAAACCCGGCCTTCATGCATAACGGTGTAGTATAGGAACGTGACGGATATTCGGAGAAGTAGCCATTTCAGTGTTCTGTGCTCTGGTAATTGAAAGTAAAATCCATTTAGGTTGAGGTAGTTTGCAGTATTTCATTAGTTTCTCAGAGCGAGTTCAGCCACTTTTGATCAGCGGTCATCTATTTGGCTTAGATTTCCAGGGCTCCCTCACCCGCCGGGTAAGGAAGGCTGTAATGTGGATGTGAACGCCATGTAATATGTACAGTATACAGATGTTGTTGTATATATTTTGATAATCGCACTAGTTACATTATACCTCGTTTTGTAGTACCTCACTATTACCTCGTTTCACTTATCCCATTCGGAATCGCTCTATCTCCACTGGTATGTATGTTACTCCTATTTGAATGTTATTGCAACAGTCTCGCGGCCGCCATTGATTTCCCGCGCAGCTTGTCTGTGGTTCTGTCAATATTGTACTCTGTACTTGGCGGTTCTTTAACCCCGCCTCCTCTTTCTCAGCGTATAAATAGCCGGTCGAATCCTACTAGAAGAAGTTCGGTATTTCGCAACCGTTTGAGCGGCTGTCGTCTGTCTGTATTTACTGCGATAAGGATAAAGAAGTGAGTCTTCACTACCTGTCTCCTGAGCATTAGAAAGGAAGGGACTTGATCCCTAGATATCTAGCTAAAGGGTTCCTGACCGGACACCCTTTACATGGGGCCGAAGCACACAAAGCTCGGCTGAACAGGTATGTTGAAGTGCAGTAGGAAACTAGGGAATCCCTGAGTTCCCGAATAGCGCAATCGAGTCATTGGGCGGTGTAGAGCGGCGGGCTCGAGAAAGCTGCGGGACTGGCAGCCTCCAAAGGTTTGCTAATCAGAACGCGACTTCCGTGCTCTTAAGCACCTGAGGGACAGATAAAAGCTTTTTTACAAGGCAAAACGCTGCGCAAATTTTGTTACGACTTTGCTAGCGCTTGCTTGAGAGTGATGAAACACAAAGTACTGCCGAGTTGCATCGAATAGGCAATCACGGACGAGAGCGCGTACCGTTCTTCGACAGACAGCTCAGAGACAAACGCGGTTGAAGCGTGCAGTCTGGTGAATTCAGTAACGAAGACACGCTGAGATAAGAGGGTGTAATACTCTACTGAAAACAAGACGTTTTTTTTAGGTGCAACAAAATGTCAGACAACATCGAAAGAGAGCTGGACTATATTCTCGAGCAAGACGTGGCACGAGACAGCAGAATAGAGGGATTTCAGCAGGAGCTCTTGGAGTTGAGAGCCCAAGTTCTGCGACTGACCCAGCAGAATCAGCAAAAGGTTCTTTCTTCAGTCTCGCAGTGCAATCTAATGTTGACTAAGTTGCAAAAACTGCCAAAAATTCGTCGGGTGCTCCGTGGCAGTCTTATGCTAAGAAGAGGTGGGTGAAAGTGTGTCACCAGAAATAGTGGAAAAGGAACTGGACAAGCTCCTTGAATCGCAGTGCAGAGCAATGCGCACAGCGCTGGATCTTCTGAGCGAATTCGCGAACAGAGTCACTGAAGCAGCGTCTGAAGCACATGCAAAGCACGACGAAGAACTGGACGAAATTATTCGCGCAGACACTGCATCTGCATGCGTGAGCTTTCGAAAAAGCTAGGTGTAAAGTCTACAGAAAAGGTCAAGACAGTATGCAACCTAGTTGACCGACAACAAGTGAATGCTGACAGACACGTATCAGAAACTTGAAAAAAAAAGTGTTGCAAGCAAGGACACCGCTAGTTTTTGAAACTGCGAATACCAGATCAAGTTGTGTTTTGCAGGTTCCCTCGACGTCCGCGCAAGCCGATGCGGAGCAGACTCCTATGGAGACGGAACAAATCGAGACACAGCAAAGTGACTTTCGCAAAGCTTTTGAGTTGCTGAAAGCCAACGACTTATCTACAGATGTCGCACTGCAGCCGATCGAGTTCGATGCAGTGACTGCTGCCGAAGGTGAGCCACTATCTAGGCAAGCCCATTCTTATGGTCCGAGGCAGTTTGTTGACCGAACCCCATTTCAGATGAACGTCTCCGTGACCGAGCCGCTACGACCCATGGAACAACCCTCGCCAGTCAGGGGCAATCCCTCGAAAGGTTTGTCTCCCACATTCAGTGAAACAAGTTTTCGCTTCGAGAACGGTGTAGGGGCAACATTAGCAGCCATGGCACTTCCGGAGGTGAAAAACTTCAGTAACCCCGATGGTGAAGGTTTCGTGGAGTTTGTGTTCTCTTTCTCGAAGAAGTATGGTAGGATAGGCCTGCCAGACGATATGCTAATTCATCTTATGAGCGAAAAGTTGGAAGGGTATCCAAGCGCCGTTATGAAAGCGCTACCAGAGGAAAGCAAACACGGTAAGTTTGCAGATTTTGTGGCCGCACTGAAGGTGAAATTTGCCGAAAACACTTCAGCTGAAAGATTGGAGTCACATGTTAAGCTGAAGCAGCTGAAGATGACAAAGTCGGTCACCGAATACTGTGTGCAATTAGAGAGCTTGACTCGGAAAGCAAATCCCAGCGCCTCCGAAGCTGACTTATCGATGGCGAGGGCCAGCGAACTAGTGTCACAGATCACCAACTGTCAAGGATATTTCCAGCTCTTCGCCTTTATGGAGTCAGCACCGGGCAACGGACTTTTGGTGCGTCCGGGATGGCACGCGGCATCGCGCGGCGGCTGCGCGGCGATCCGGATGCAAATCTCGCGGGCGTCTGCAGTGGAATTTACCACGTCAAAATGTGAAACGGATAAATTTCGCAAGGTTCTGCGACTCAATTACATTCCAACGTGCGAAGTTTCAGCGGTGATGGTCAGGAAACTTTAGTAAGAAGGGATGAGAAGGAGCTGACATAAAGCTGTGACAGCGATCAGGGCGTCATGTCGTTGGGAGAGGGGGCATCCAAGTGAGTGAGCCAATTACTGTGCTTGGAACTGAGCCTCAGGGGAAGGGGATTCTGGGAGCAAATTGTGTTCTTCCTGGCGTTCCTCCCCCCTCCTGGGCTTAGTCCTAGTGTCACCACCATCGGCTGTTTTGAATGTCCTCTTACGATTAGAGACACGAGCGCCACGATCACTAAAGCGATATAGTTGACACTGAAAAACATTGCAGTAAAAACTCCTGTTCATAGCGTTCCTTAATCGCATGGGTGATGGGTTTATCCGCAATCTGATGCGCTTTGACGTTTCGAATTCTACTACAGAACACGAGAAGCCTTGTCTCATCCGGATCGCCGCGCATGCCGCCGCGCAATTCGCCGCGTGCCAGTCCGGACGCACCAAAAGTCCCGCACCCGTCAGCTGCAGCCGCACCAGGCTTTTGGAAGCTCGAAAATCTAGCACAAAGGATTGAAAGAAATAAAAAGGTAGCTGCGGCAACGAGGTCCGCCTCTGAATTGAAGCAAGTGAACGAGCAAAGTGAACCGCGACGATCCTTCCCATTCCAGAAAGTTGAAGAAAGCGCAGATCGAGCTAGAAACGTTCAAAACCGATCTCAAGAAA